CTTTTAAAAAAAAAAAAAAAAGAAAAGAAAACCAGGCAAGAACTATTAAATACTTACTATATGCCAGGTACTTTATGAAGTTATTTGCCTGTATTGTTTTATTTAGTCCTTAAACAGTATTTCCAAGAAATAGATACCTTTCTGATTCCAAGGATGAGGAAGAGGAAACTGGGACATCCAGAGGTTGGTTGGGGGAAAAAAAAAAAAATGTGGAGGATATACTGATAGTAAGTAGCAGAGAGAGTTAGGATTCAAATCCAGGAAGTGAAACTGACTCCAGACCTCTTAACCTCTTCCCCCTTAACATTATATTATGTTCTCTCTACTCCTACTGTGATAAGTGTGAGAATTGAGGTATCTATAGGATTTTATTTGGTTTGAGGGCAAAAAATTCTTTACTCTGAATAAGATGACAATGAGTTTTATTGGGAAAGCTGCATATGGCAAATTATTTTAAATTCATTTCCAGGCTGAACAAAATGATTGCTATGCAATGAGATGGTATTGCTTCATGCAATGGTAATGTGTTCATGCCCCAGTCTCACCTTCATGACTCATAATGGCCTCCATGTCCTGTAAGCTCAGCCCTGCCCAGATCCCAAACACGTTAGTGAGTGGATATAGGGAAACAATGTTTCCCCAGGTCTTCTGTGAGGAGATGTGGATTTATCAGTATGTAAAGGGGCCTTACACTTATTACACTCCCACGATATGCAGCCATTGTACTTAGTAATTTTGGAGGCTTACTGTTTCTTCCTGTAATTCCTGTTTGAATGGAAACCGGCCATGACCTTCTTATTTATTTCCTTCCTACAAGCACTCTTCCAGGTCTGGGTCTTACTTACGTGGCCTAGCAGGCTTCTGCTAAGAATGACTCTCCCCTCGACCCACCCGGCAGCTCCAAAATCTTGATGCCCACTAAACCCCGAAACTTAGATTTGGTTTATATTGAACTTGTTTTGGCCACATAAACACCACTTCCTTGTATTCCACGAACTCGCCTCCAACACTATCAAGAAGGGAGAAGGAGGAGGAGGGTTCATGTGTAAAGACCCTGAGGGGAGGTCTCAGTCTTTATTTCATCCTAACTGCAGTCTAGTCCCAGTTCTACACATACCTGCTTTAGTGCTGAGGACATTTATGCTATAATGACACACAGGTTAATAAAATTGATTTTCTTTACCTAAGTTTTAAAACCCCCATTCCTATCACTATGAATGATATTTCATTGACTTGAAAGAAATACTCCGGGGCACCTGGGTGGCTCAGTTGGTTAAGCAACTGCCTTCGGCTCAGGTCATGATCCCAGAGTCCTGGGATCGAGTCCCACATCGGGCTCCCGGCTCAGCAGGGAGCCTGCTTCTCCCTCTGACCCTCTCCCCTCTCATGCTGTTTCTCTGTCTCTCTCTCTTTCTCTCAAATAAATAAATAAATAAAATCTTAAAAAAAAAAAGAAAGAAATACTCCGATACTTATTTTAAACTAAATAATTCAGCAGCATACCATTTATGATGGGAAAATAAATGGTACATACAAATGATTAATTAAAGAGAGTCAAATAAAGGGCTTATTAACAAGGATATAAATAGGGTTAAAGGAATCAACAAGAGGTGTTGATGCATCAGGGCCTAGATGCACAGCAAGTCTTGACTACCCTGAAGTCTGATGGGGCAGGGAGAGGGAGTAGTACTAAGATTTGGCAATAGCTAGAACCATGGGAGAGAGACCATTCAATAGTAGCTGTGAATTTCCACACAGGAAGAGGATGGAGAAAGTCACTGTCAAACCACAATCAGGCAGTGAAGAAGTGGGGAGAAGAGTTATGTCAATTTCACTCCTCCTGTGTTTGCATCCCTTCATTGTCTCCAGGTGAAAATCTAACCAGAAGTCAGGGGGCGAGGAAGCCCAAGTAAGGAACACCACGCAAGTCAGCGTGCCAGGACACAAAGCAGGGCAGCGAAGAGCACAGTGGATCCAGAGGGGAAATAGGGAAAAACCAACACTGGCATCTACTATTTGAAAGGACTTATCAAAAAGTTTACAAGTGTTATTTAGTCCTTACAAAAACCCTACAAGAGATGTATCAATGACATTAGAAAGATGAAAATAGGGCACAAAAATGTTAATTAAATTTCCATGACCATATAGCTAATAAGAGCTAGAGATAAGTTTCAAGCCCAGAGATTTGGTTTCCAGAGTCCATGTCCTTAGCCTCTCTGATATTCTCCCTTAAGAATCAGAATGAACTCATGTTAGGCTTAAATTAAATATAACTATTGAGATGTGAGGTTTCCAAATTTATGGGATTGATAACTTAGGAGCATTTTTCTAAACAGCATCACATATGGATAACTTTATACTCAGCCATCTCCAAAGCTACATAAATGTCTTAGAAATGGAGGAGAAGATGGAATGAGAATAAAATTCAGACCCCACAAGCTTAGTCCTTTTTCTAAACTTTTTATTTTTATATTTGACCCACTAATCTCTACTTTTTACTGAGTGGACCAAGTGTATTACTACAAGGCACTTATTAAGATTTCTTTTTTCCTTTTAACTTCTGAAGTAATGCAACTATGGATAGCCATAAATGACCTATTATGTCATTCAGTTTTTTCATGGTAGTTCACAAAAAGTTGTTGCAAGCATGACTGAGTCACAAATATCATTATAATACTTATGAAAATATAGCAGAAAGAAGTTGGCAACAAGTGAAAAGTAAGGCTTGAGAAGGAAGCTATGCTGTACAAGGTATCCGAAAACATAAACTGGCATTTAGAAGGAGCTCACTGATTAATAATTCTTATTTGCTTGATTTGGTTTTGCTTAAAACAGACACATGACATCTCTAATGAAACATGAATTCACTCAAATTCATTGGAGAAATATTTATTGAGTGCCTTCTTCTAGATGCTTGGGGTACATACAAAACAGACAAAGATACTAACTTTTGGGAGCTCCATTCTAGCAGGCACCTTCTAAAGCTCTCAGAATATTTTTGAAAAAAAAAAAAATGCAATACCATTGTCCTATAGTAAGTATGCAACACAGTATTCCTTTGCCATTGCCATAGAAATAATTTTAAAGCTTTGTATAAATGTATGATTGGAAATTTATGGTAAAGCTGTGATAGTGATTTTTCTGTATTTTATAAATTTGAAACTATACAATTTTTAACATTTTAATATCTGT